AAGAGAAAAGATGCAAACTGATTTTTAGAAAAGAGTTACCAGTTATTTCAGAAAAGATGTAGACTGATTAAAAGGTTTACGAGTTTCGGGGGGAGTGCAGATTGGCAATAGGAAAAAGGTTTACCAATTTTAGCGGGCTTCAGAAGTAGAAAATTATCAGTTTTAATAAAGACACTAGTTCCAGCAATCGATACTGTTTAAGAACGAATGATGCTATTAAAGACGAGGTTTCCTATAGGCATGTTTTCTATATGTTTACTGATTTTAACACCCTTTCCTGATATCAATAAGAGTCTTATACACATGGTGTCTATATGCAACTTTGTTATTAAGCCTATAAACGGTTTGCCTAATGACATTTATATATGCAGAAATGCAAGAGCCTATAGACATGATCTCTATATGTGTCATTACAGAACATGAATGTTAAATCCTATAGACATGCTTTCTAGGTGATTTTTGCGGTAAAGTTAAGCGTTAAATCCTATAGGCATGGTCTCTATGTGATTGAATCAGTATTAAAGACCCTATAGGCAGGATTTCTAGTTTGAATAAAATCCTAATTCATGATTTCTACCCCTTGGATACAAGAAAAGTAAAGACCCCTCCCACACCCTTTTACTATACTCCCCGAGTTTCATACAAAATTATTACAACCCAATGAATCAAACTGGAAATTAAAGGATACATCAAAAGCTAACAGCTAGATCCGAGTAGCCTAATTCAACCTTAATGTCTAATAACATGCGATTGAGCCACTTCCGGGATCCAGATTTCCAAAGCCTTCTCTTTATCCAAGGTGCTTCAAAGCTCCAAGGAATCTCAGGGATTCCAGGCATTGCTTACACCCAGGATACTACCAGAATTAGAATAGTGCAGTGTGGAAGAGCCGGCTCTCATGCATCCAAGTTCAGAGGGAGCTCGGGGGTCCCAAAGCATGGCTTGCAAGAGAGGGGCAGAACTTATAGCTAAGAGTAAGTGCAAAGTGAAAGGGAATTGGGGGGCCATGACAGGTGGTAGTCATACCTAGCTACAAAGTAGGCTGGCACACCCCTGACCACCTGCTTGGTCAAACACATTAAGAGCAGACCCTTGAAGGTCAGACCAAAGTCTAGACAGTGATTAGGACACTACCAGACCCAAGTCCAAAGCTCAAACACATAAAGGGGAAAAGGGAATGGGAACTGATTGAGTTTGGGATTCAAAGAATCCAATCCAGAATCATAGACAACAAATTAGAGTGCTGTCATGCCCCAAACCATAACTCACATACAAAGGGTAAAGGGTAAGGGGATTCACATAGGAACAATAATGACAAAGTTGCAGAAAAACAGTAAAGGAAAGCATAACAGAACTAGGATGTGAAACACATAGTGGAGGAGCGGTATTTAAACTAAGATGGACATACCAGTTGCAAAGTAAGAGAATAGCAGAGTAACCACAGCAAGCAAGCAGCAGAAACAACTCAGGTTTCAGCTGAACACT